TGACCCACACGTGGAGAGACAGACACGAGACACGTGACCCACATGTGCAGAGACAGAGGACATGCCTCACACATGAAACAGACACGGGACACATGACCCACACGTGGAGAGACAGACACGGGACACACAACCCACACGTGGGGAAACACAGGGACATGCGCCTCAGACACGTCAGGCATAGCTGGGCTGTGCAGAGCTCTGGGTACCCACAGCGGCTGCACCGCAGTCCCACCTCACCTGGTCCTCGTCCCACACGTACAGCTTCCAGTGCAGGACCACACTGGCCCGCTGACGCTTCCAGATCTCCAGGAACACTGTGGCTGTGGCCAGGGAAGGAGGGGCATCGGTGTGTACTCTGGGTGGGCCTTGGATCTGGGCTGGCCCTTCCCCTTGCCCCGCAGCGGCGTCCTGCGGCAACTCACCCCAGAGAGCCATGAAGATGGCGAACACCACCGTGCCGTCATTGTCAAAGAGGTGGGTGAGCTGGAGGGGATGGGTGGGCCAGAGGGGGGCGGTGAGCCGGGAGAGTGGCCGGTAAGCTAGGGAGAGGCGGGGCGGGTGGGCCGGGAGAGTGGGGCGAGAGCAGGGCCCCGATGAGCTGGGAGCGGGGGAGGGGGGGGAGGGGGGGGGGGTGAGCCAGGAAGGGGGGTGGGTGGGCGAGGGCTGGGCCTCCCCGTGAGCCCCCTGGGGAAGGTGAGCAGCTCCGCAGGGCTCCAGGCCTTGGCCTCCCCACCTCAGGTGGGTTCACCTGGCCCATCTTCCGCAGGCCCTGGGGTGGACCCAGAGGCGACAAACCTTGGCGAAAGTGCAGGTCTCCGAGAGCCGCTGGTACCTGCGGCTGTGGTCTCCGAGGGGACACATGAGGATGTTGTCGGCTTCACAGATCTCCTTGCTGCAGGGGCATGGCGAGGCTGGGGTGGCTCCTTCTGGCAGCACAGCCCACCCTGGCCCCCCACGCCCAGTCCCCGCCGCACCCCACCTGATCTGGCTGGCCTCGAACAGTGAGAATCCACTCAGGAAAACCACGAGGCCTGTCAGGGCGGCTGGCACCAGCATGTAGGTGTACCAGCCCAGCCAGGCGAAGTACAGGGCCACCTTCTCCCCGAAGTAGTTCCTGCAGGCGGCTGTGGTTGAGGCCAGCTCTGCTGGGGGCGGGGCTGTCGGGGGTGGTGGGGCAAGGACGGGGGTGGGGGAGGCGGGGTTCTGCCTTGGCATCAGTGAGTCTGAATGGGGAGCACATCTGCAGGCGAGGGGGTGTCCATGGCGGTGTGGGGGGCATGGGAGCCTCATGGCCATGTGTGGGCGTCCACAGGCGCGGGGGCATCCGCAGTGGGGTGGTGGCTTCTGGGTGGTGTGTGGGGGCATCTGCAGGAGTGGGGCCCTCTGCGGAGGGTGTGGGGGTGTCCGTGGGGCTCCTGTGGCCGCTGTGGCCACCTTACCTGATCTCATCCACTGGCTGCTTGTGGAACATGCTCCTCCACTGCGCCCAAGTCTTCAGCTTTTTCTCCTCCTGGCTCAAGTGACAGGGAGTGAGAGCTCCCATCCGGGAACCCACCCCAGGGCCCTCTCCCGGCTGGCCCACCCCTCACCTTGTGTAGGGGGAACCTGGCCTCGAAGACCCCGTCCTTCATCAAATTCTCGAATGTCTCTATGGGTCACAGGAGTTCACAAATCGGGGGAGTGGGGTGCTGGGGGAACCCTTCCCTTACCATGCCCGTCTGTGCCCACCCCCACCTTAACCGCCAGCCCCCTCTGTGCCCAGCCCTGCCCTGCTCGCAGTGCCCTGTCTGCATCCACCCCTACCCTGCCCACAGCACCCTATGCCCACCCCCACCCTAACCGCCAGCCCCCTGTGCCTACCCCTACCATGTGCCCACCCCTACCCTGCCCTGCCCACAGCACCCTGTCTGTGCCCACCCCCACCCTAACCGCCAGCCCCCTCTGTGCCCACCCCTACCCTGCCCTGCCCGCAGTGCCCTGTCTGTGCCCACCCCCCCCTGCCCTGCACTTACTGCCAGCTGAGGTCTTGTTTTTCTGGACCACGAAGTCCACGATTCGGATTCTAAGACTCAAGAGCCGGGACAGGGTGGTTGCATGTGGCCACAGTGGACCCTGCCTCCAGGTCTCCACCTGCCCTCTGGTCTGGCCAGGCCCAGGCCCCTTCCCGTCCTGGCAGAGCCCCCAGCCTGCCAGCCCTGACCAGACCCCAGAATCCACAACTCACCTGGTAGCCCACGCCCCCACCGAAAGCCCTCCCGGCGTCTGGCCTGCCCCACGGCCTCCAGGATGAGGCTGCTCTGGGGGCTCCCTCCCCTCCCACCCCACAGCCCCCACCTCCAACCCTACCCCCACCTGCAGGCCCATGTGTCCAGAGCACACCCCAGCCGTTACACACAGACCCTCCTCACACCCCGTGAGCGATTTTGTTCTGCCTGAGCAGAGACTGAGGCTTAGGAAAGGAACGTCCCAAGGCCACACGGCCAGGGAGCAGCCAGGCCGGCTCCAAGCCGCCCCTCGTGCCGAGAGACATGGCTCCTGGACACCCCAGGGCATGTCTCAGGCCCACGCCCCCCACGGCAGCTCCCCTCAGACCCTCGAGCCGCCTCCCCCCTCTGAGGCCCCTCGCTCCTCCCCAGGACCCACAGCTCTCTGCTCACAATGCCTGTCCACCGCCTCGTAGCCAATACCAGGAGTGTCCTTGGCTGGTCCACCAAGCGGGCTGAGCCCGTGGGGCCTGGACGGGGCTGAGCAGCTCGGGGGGCATGGAGGGCCAGGCTTGGAGGCTCCCTCCTAGGCTGGAGAACTGGGAGAAGCAGGGGCTTGGGGAGCAAGGAGGCTCTCCCTGCTGGGCCTCTGGGAGGCCAGGGACGGTGTCCAGGGAGGGCCATTGGACCTACAGAGGAGGGGCCTCCAGGAGATGCTGGCTTAGTCCGGGAGGGGCCTCTGGGCCTCTGCGAATCCTGCCCACCCCGCAAGGCTGGCTTTGACTCTGTCCCAGGAACGCGGGCAGCCACACGGAGCCCTCAGAACGCGCCGAGAGGCGAGAACCCTCACCAGCCTTTATCGGGACGGGAAGCTGAGGCTCACACAGCTGGTGGGTCTCACAGCTGGGGCCCCTGCCCTGAGAACGTGTGGCTGTCCTGCCTTGGCAGCACCCGGAGCCTGGCACTATCTCCTGCTCGGTCTGGACCAACCACGCAGGCGGCGAGGGGTCCTCCCGGCCATGGCTCTGGGCACAGCCTCTCACCTCGTGGTGACCGGGACAGCCGTGGCCTCAGCATGCTCGGCCTGGCGGGCGGGACCCTCGGGCTCCAGGAGGAGGGTGTGGTACAGGTCGAAGACACTGTTGTCAGCACGGATCCCGAAGAACACCTGTCTCTGGTCCTTTATCATCTGGGGGTGGGGAGCCACATAGGACCTTCTATTCCGCCTCAAAACCGTCCCCTACATCCGAAGCCGTGGCTCCTCCCCTGACGGGCCCCACGCCCCTGCCCCTCGCTGGGCACCAGCCCACCTTGGTGTGGAAGCCCTTTCTCCTGAGCTGTTCCAGGAACTGCCACTGCTGCTGCACCTGCCGGGGGTCCGTCTGGGTGCGAAGGTCGGCCACAAGGACGTAATCCCACTGCTCGGACGCCTCGGTCTGCAGGAGGAGGCACAGGGCCAGGTGCAGGCGAAGGGGCGGGGCAGGGCCAGGCGGGGCCCAGGAGGGGCCCACGGACACCCACCTCGCAGGAACTGATCTCCATCAGCGGGAAGCTGTCCCCTTCGGGCTCCACCAGGATCTGGAGGTTGTCTTCGCCCTGGGGGTTCAGGGAAGAGGAAGGGATGCCAGGGTGTGATTGGGGTGAGATGCCCCTTGCTGGCGGGTTCCTGCAGCCACACACCACCCCTCCCCACAACGAAAACAGCAAACAGTCCGAGGAGATGGCTGTGGGTGGTGACAGCCCAGCGGGGCAGGGCCTGCTACAAAGGGCCCGCAAAGGACCGTGTGGACTCCTGCAAATGCAGCAGGGAAGACGCAGCCCACAGAAGAGGAGCGTGGTGAGCAACTGACGGGGGAAGAGACGAAACGTCAGAACAGCCAGGTAGATGCAGGTCAGGGGACAGGACGACACCCGTGGCTCGGGAGAAGCCCCGGGCGCTCCTGCACGCTCCTGGTGCTGTGCGTATCTGAGCTTGGGTCTGGAAACTTTTTGCAGTGTTTAAAACGGAACAGTCCTAGCGCCTGGTGTGGCCCATCTGCCCCTGGAGGGGCAGACAAGGGCGTTCACAGCAGCTGGATTTCTCATCAGGCCCCTGGGGGCTGGGCAGACGGAGGACACCGTGCTGTCCTCACACAGGAAGAGTCCTGCCCGCAGGGTGCTGTGCACGGGGCTCCCGCAGGTGACGGCCTCAGGCATGTCCCGGCAGACACAGGGACACGAGAGCCTTCGGGAAGAGGTGAATTTGCAGGGCCTCAGAGTGTCTCCCTGATACCTGTGAATGACTGAGCAGCCTCCGTGCACCCAGTCCCTGCACCTGCAGCCCTCCCCCGCCCCGCCACATGCTTGCCAAGCTCAGGAACTGCCTCCTCCAGAAACACTTGACTGGCCCTTGGGGGCTGCCAGGTGAAATAGAGGCCACCTAGTCACTAAGTCACATTTCATTTCCAGATAACAACAGAAGCATAGTGTAGTATCAGGATTAGTATTCGTGCAGCATTAGCATAGTGGCAGCATACTACAGCATTAGTGGAGTATTCACATAGTGTTTATAGCATCTGCAGCACAGCAGCACAGCATAGGTAACAAAGCACATGCCAGTGATTGCACGGGCCGCGCCCACACTAAAAGCCTTGCTATTTATCTGACCTTCTGCTTGACTGGGTGTCTTTCTTACTTTGTGTCACTGAATCTGCTCCCCTGGTCCAAGTCTGCCCTCCAGCGCCTGCCCCGCACACGCACACCAGGAGCTGCTGGTTCCAGGACCGGCCTGCCATTCCCAGTCCATCTCAACCACAAGGGCCAGGAAATGCATCCAACCGACCACAGGATGGGAGGCTCTCAGGCGGGGGTTGGTCCACGGCTGGTACCAGTCCACGGCCAGTTAGGAGCCGGGCCACACAGCAGGAGGTGAGCAGGGGCGGAGTGGGGGGCATTTCTGCCTGGGCGCCGCCTCCCGTCAGATAAGCCGTGGCATCAGAGTCACAGCAGCAAGAGCCCTGCCGTGAACCGCGGGCGAGGGAGCTGGCTGTGTGCCCTGATGACACTGACGCCTGATGACCTGGGCGAAACAGCTTCACCCTGAAACCACCCCGTACCCAGCGCCGTGGAAAAGCTGTCTTCCTCGAAAGCAGTCCCTCGTGCCAGAAAGGTTGGGGACTGATGCTCTAAGGCATAGGGCGCCACGGTCACGGGAAGGTGGGCCCACGCACACGCCGCCTCAGTCA